AATGGGCATGCCATGCTTGACTCGCTCGAGCTGGCTAGCTTGACCCCCCACCTCACCCCCCCCCTTCCCTACTCGGCGGCGAGCGAGGGAGGGAGGAATTGAGAGGGGGCTGGCCTCCTCGGCAGGCTCGGAAGCCCTCGGCCTTCGGAGAAAGAGTTCTGGGCTCTGCCCGAAGGCACGGAGAACGTCTCGGAAGCCGCGAGGGCTTCTGAGAAGGTCGTCGTCGTCGTCGTCGTCGTCGCCGCACTCGTCCTCGCTACCGAAGCATCAATACAAGCGTCGTCGCCGTTGCCAGCCCCGCCGCCTTCCGAGAAGGCCTTCTCGTCCTCACTTCCCCCCCAAATCGCTCGCCGCCGACGCACGCGCCCCCCCGAGCAAGTCGCTATACATATACTGGCCGCCGCCACACCCGTCTCACGACCGCGCCGTGCCAGGAGCCCAGGAGGGGGGGAGGACCAAAAAAGGTCCAAGGGGAGGAGAGGCAGGAGGGAGAGGAAGAGGACGGGGAGGAGGACGGCGGATTGGGAGGAGGAAGCAGGAGGGCAGCAGGAAGGAGAAGGGAAGCGTGGGAGAAGTACGAGGCCTTGGAGGGCCACATTGTATCAGGGAGAAGAGAGGGCGGACCAAAGTAGAGCGCGGGAGCGAGGTCAAGGAGGAGGGAGGGGAGCAGCGAAGGGAAGGGAGAAGAGGCAACAATGGGGAGAGAGGCGGGAGGGGAGGGAGGAGGGAACAAGCCCAAAGGATGAGGGAGACGGCCAGCAGAAGGGAGGAGAGGAGAGGGTAGGGGAAAGAGGGAGGAGGATGCGTTGCCCTTCGGTGCGCGCGCGGCGCTGCGGCGCTGACTGCGGCGGGGCTGGCGGAAAACCCGCGAAGGGCGTCGCAGCCGCGTCGAAATAAACCCAATCTGCCCTTCCGCTCGGCATCAGATCCCCACACCCCTCCAGGACACTACACTGACAGATGTACTGATATGCATCCTGGCGTGGCCACGAAGGCCCCACCCCCATCTGCCTCCTCCTCATCATCATCACCATCATCACCATCAGCATCAGCATCAGCATCATCATCATCAGCATCATCAGCATCATCATCAGCATCAGCATCATCAGCATCATCAACATCAGCATCATGATCATCGTCAGCATCATCAGCAGCAGCATCAGCATCAGCATCAGCATCAGCATCAGCATCATCATCATCATCATCATCATCATCATCATCATCATCATCATCATCATCATCATGATCATGTTCATCATCATCATCATCAGCATCATCATCATCATCATCAGCAACATCATCATCATCAGCATCATCATCATCAGCATCATCATCATAGCCATCATCATCATCAGCATCATCAGCAGCATCATCGTCCTCCTCCTCCTCCTCCTCCTCCTTCTCCCCCCGTCCCCCCCCCTCAAGCCCAAGACATGTTCCATTTGAGGCGTCGAGGCGGCGGCGCTGTGAGGGAGCAGTCGGCCTCCGTGCCTGAGGCTCATCAGCGAGGACTGCAGCAGGAGATCCAGGGTGCCCCGCTGCCGCCGCTGGATGGCCTCCAGGAGCACGCGCAGAAGAACAACAAGACTGCATAAACAAAAACGTTCGGAAGGGTCCACGCAGATGTCTTGGGGCGCTGGGTTTCTCTGGCGGCGCCTCTGGCGCTGCCCCTGGCGCGCTCCGCACGGCAAAGAGGTTCCAGCGCAGGGAGGGAGGGTTGCTTATGCAGTTGTGATTCTTCTAACGCGGCCAGGGCGGGAGAGGGGGCGGGAAGCGCAGAAGCAGTGGAGCAAGAGGAGGAGAAGGAAGCAGAGCGTTTCTGTGGGAAGTTGTTGTTCCCCATATCCAGAGGATGGGGTTATTGTTATTCTCTTACCGCGCCGGAGACGTCCCTCCCCACCCCCCTCTCTGCACTAGACGAGAGTATGATGTGAGTATGATGGTGAGAGTATGGATGAGTATGATGATGATGATGATGATGATGATGATGATGATGATGATGATGATGATGATGATGATGATGATGATGATGATAATGATGATAATAATGATGATAATGACGATGATGAGAGCAGATGATGAGGATGTCTCGAGCGACTTGTTGGCTTTAGCAGTCCTAAGTGGGGGCCGCCAGGGGGTATTGCACGGCCTCCGTTCGCGCCCATCTGGCGGGGATGCCTCGAGTGGTTTGCCTGTTTGCATGCCCAACAGCCTCCGCTTTCGGAGCAGACTTGGAGGACGTCTCGAGCGAGGCGCACATTTTCGCCTCCTAAAGGGGGGCCACATGTGGAGGATGTCTCGATAGGTTTGCCTGTTTTGGTGGCCAGATTCGTGCGCACATATTCTCCCCAGGATGCCACGGGAAGCTCCAGCAGGCTTCGGGAGGCCCCAGGAGGCCACATGAGGTCCCAGGAGGCATCAGGAGGCCACAGGAAGGCGCAAGAGGCCACAGGATGTCCCAAGAGGCTCCAGGAGGCCCCAGGAAGCTCCAGGAGGCCTCAGGAAGCCACAGGAGGCCCCAGGAGGCCACAGGAGGCGCCAGGAGGCCCCGGAAGGCAACAGGAGGCCCCGAGAGGCCCCAGGAGCAGGAGGCCTCAGAAGGCAACAGGAGTGGCTGCAATCCCATGTGTTTTACAGATGCTCCTATAGATTGGGCCTTACATGGAGCACGAATCCTTGATGTTATACGAATATTTCTATAGATTGACATGCAACTGTGTATAAAATCCTAAATGTTTTACGTATGTTCCTATAGATTGGGCCTCCCCTGGGGCACGAGTCCTTGGTGTTTTATGTGTGTTCCTATAGATTGCCCTTCTCCTGTGGCTCCAATCCGCAATGTTTTACAGACGTCTGTTCCTATATCTTGGGCCTCTCCTAAGACACGAATCCTCCCTAGGTCCCAGGAGGGTCCAGGAGGCCTCAGGAGGCCACTTGAAGCCCCAAGAGGCCCCAGGAGGCCCCAAGAGGTTCCTGGAGGCCCCAGGAAGCCCCAGGAGGTTTCAGGAGGCCCCAGGAGGTCCCAGGCTCATGCGCAGAGACGCGCTCGTACTGCTGAGACTCATTCACACTCCAAATCATTCGCAGCTAGATTCATGACCAGACCGTCACAACTCAAGCCCACTTATTTTAGAATACTCGTGCGCCTAGACGCTCACGGCGGACAGGTCCATGCGAATATATGCACATATGGGGAGCTCCACGCAGTGTACACATGCTTTCCTTATCGCGATAACGCTATGCTTGTCAAAAGCCTGCCGAGCAGTCCTAATTAGCGATCGAGCGAGCGATCGGGCGAGGAATCCTCTCGCCGATGCCCACACTCTGCCGGGGGATGGGAGAAGAGAGGGAACAGAACAGCTCGAGGCAAAGGTAGAGAAGGAGGGGGGCAACCACGACGAGCACGCTCGAAATATTGCCGCCAGGATCCTTGGCCATGCTTCTGCCGCCAGCCGCGTCAAGGACCTGCGAGGACCGCCTGGGTGAAGGGACCCTGTGACACGCAAATAAATGCACACACATAACCGGATTCCCCATATGTTCCCATATGTTCTAGGATTTTGTCTTCCCCCCCACTTCCCATATTTTCCCATATTTTCTGGGGAATCGACGATTAATTGTGTCTGTGTGTTTTTTCCCCTCCTGACTGGGGCGAGCCGACACGGAGGAGCCGACGAGCCGAGACCCCGGGACCGAGATCAGCGTGGCTCCCGGCGCAGCACCGTGCCTGCAGGCAGCCTCCCTGCGCGTGGGCGCCAGCGGACGCGTCGGCCGAGCTTGGCCCGCCTCGGGAAGGCCGCGCTGTGGACGGAGGTTGGCGTGGGTGGCGGACAAGGAAGGGGGGGGGGGTCGAGGTCGTTTCTCCTCTCGCCCGCCGAGGGGCGGGCGCAGGTGTGTACGCTGCCTGAGCCGAGAGAGATGGCAGGAACGATGAATAGAAGGAGGGGAGGAGCGGCCTTCATACACACACGAGTCGGCGTTTCGGGGGAGCTCGCAGACTTCGCCCAGATCCAGTAGGGGGCAGGTCGTCTGCGGCAGCGGTCGGGCGGGGCCAGC